TGTGGGCCTGGGGGATGGCAGGCAGGCCCAAGGAGCCAGGGGGCCATTTAATCTGCAATTGGGCCCTGTGCACACCCACCTGCCCGCCTACTCCTCCTTGACAACTGCACAGCTGAAAAGTACTCTTAGAGAAAATGGACCCTCCATTCATCTCCATGCCCTGAATCACAAGATCCCAAAAAAGGTGCATCACTTTGGAAAGACTTTGTTGTGCCGGGCCCATTGCCTTGAGCAGTTTGCTTCACTCCTGCTTTAGAGGCAGGACTGAGGCAGACAGTTATTCTAACTCTGTACATTACAGCCAGCACGTGTAGAGCAATGAGACTACAATGAAAGGTATTTGGAGGATACCATGTGAAAGCAATTCCATGACACAGGGCAGGGAGTGCTGGCTCCCCAGCCGCCCCAGCACAGGCGCCAGCCAGGACGGCTGCTCTGATGTCAGAACTGGACTGTGGTCTCTGCTCAGCTGAGGGCTGTCTCTAGACCCCTAGACCCTCCTCCCTGGAATCGCAGGTGATGTCCAACAGGGTAGGAAGGAGGATGGGTGGAGCCAAGGATGGAGGTGGGAGAGCCCTGGCCGATGCTGTCTGGGCAGCCTTGGGGAACAGCTTGGGGGTCAGAGGCTAATGGCCCGAGGCCCGAAGCTCCCTTCACCTGCATACACTGGTTGGCCTGGTACTTATTCTGCACTGTCCAGCTTGGCCCTTCTTTCCAATCAGAAGAAAAAGTCACCCTCCAAGTGTGCATACCAGTTGAGAAGATGCTGATGAAATCCCATTAATGCTTTATCATCTGCAACCAACTGGCTCTATCCCAGGCCACGTGGGGGGCTGCTTACTTGTCTTATCTCCTCCCTATCTCCTCACATACACCATTAAGCTCTAATAAATGAAAAAAATGTCATAGTGCAATAGGAGGAGGGTCATCAACGGACAAGGGTTTTCAAGAAACTTGAAGAAGACAGGGGGTAGATGGTGGAAGTATAGAAGTGAAGCCACAGCCTAGAATACAAATACAGCAAGAATTCTGGAGCTGGTAGGGAGCAGGCCTGCCAGGCATAACCCAGAAGGCTTTCCAGATTTGAAATGCAGGTACCATAGAAAGCAGACTGACAACTGATGCCAAAACTGGGGATTGCTAAAAGAATCGCTAACGGTGGGCCCCACCTTCCCCACCCTCCAGCCATTACCTGGCAGAAGATCTTAGAGCCAAGCCTAAAAGGAAGGGCTCATCTTTAAAGATGTTGACACTTGTGAAATACAATAGTAGTGGAATAGAGAATCCTTTCCCCTGTTCTTGATGCTGTATTTATACCTCAATTGGAGGACAAAATAGAGATGGCTCCTGATCACCAGAAAGGGAGTGACGTGCCAGGGTCTTCACCCATGTAGGTGGCCCCACTGTAAGGGAATTGAGGAACAAGACCTCCCCTGTCACCTACCCTGCTGACAGGGGCTGCCCTGTGCTCGGCACAGGCAGGGGGACACCGTCATCGGGAGTGGGACCTCACCCCAGAAGACGCCCCTTGGCAACACATTGTAAACCAGCAGACCACATCCAACCAGCCCAGAGCTTCCAGGCCAAGTAATCCCAGCAGCTGCAGCCCACTGGCCTCAGTGGAAACTCGGCTTCCCTCTCACAGGATGCTGTGCCCTTTGAGGGCCTTGGAAGCCTTCTCTGTTTTCTTCTGCAGAACCTCATCCACAGAACAGACTGCATTCTGTTCCCTGCTTCGACATAAAGCCTTTCCCTTTGTGTCGTATTCTTGGTCTCTACTAACTTTCTTTTATTCATGCCTAACGCCTTGAGAACCCTGGGCTGTGGCAGGTGATTAAGCTCCCACTTCAGTCTCACAATCAATCATGCGCAACATTTCAAGAGAAGACAATTTGTTTGGAGCCTTTCATTGTCAGGGTTTAGGGAATGGGATCATATAAAGTGTTACAACAGTAAGTATAATAGAATAGATCCTTTTGCCAACAGACTCTTATATGGAAGCCCAATACTCTGAATTGATTAACAAGCTGCTGCTTATGACAGAGCAAGGGGGGTGGGGGGAGAGGAACCAGAGCCCCATCTGCTCAGCTCAGCTTCTCTTGCCCTCCTCATGACCCAGGTTACCTCCTAAAATGACATTTCCAGGGAGAGCAGTTAGCAATCCCAACTCAGAACAACTAAAAAGTACGTTAACTATATGAAAAAAAGGTAAATATATTACTTTGTAAAATATGTACAATATAAAATACGAGCAATTATCCTTACCAGCATCTTGTAAATACCAATAAAATCATAAGTAGATTCAACCAGGCAGAACTCAGCAACCATCTTCATCATCACCACCATCATCCTCACCTACATTTAATGAGAGTGAACCATGAGTCAAGGATAAGTGATTGACATATATTCTATCACTCAATTCAAACAACAAAATCATGCAGCCAGTATTGCTAGTGCCCACATGTTAAAGAACTTGACCAAGGTCCCCTAGCTACTGGGTAGGAGGGGCCAAGATGCAAGCCCAGATCTGCTGGACAGTCTCCTGGTATGCTCTTGGCCACTGTGTTGGACCAACCCCAATAATATGTACTTGTGTCCTTCTTCATATATTTTCTTAATTTTTTACTTGAGTTAACCACTTCTATAATAATAAAGATAATTTGAGACCAAAACAGGAAAGAAAGTGGGGGGGGGGGGTGAGAGGAGACCTGGCTCCTTAAGTCCAGAAGTGGGCAGGGCAGGGATGCCCTGGATAGCTCATCTAGCTGGGGTCACCATGGAGGTGACCCTACATGTCACAAAGGGCGGGCTCAGAGGACATTCCTCACCCCAAGGCGGCTCAGCTTAACCAGGCAGGGTCATCATTCTTCATCATCTTCTTCCCTTCCTACTCATCAGAAATGTTAGAAAAACATATTAGTCTTGATCTAATCAAGTATTGTCAAATAACCGTTCTGAAAAGAAGGGAGAGGGAAGGGGAAGTGTAAGAGGACTAACACTCCTAATTAACCAAAACAGACCATGACTAAAGTCAATGAGTCAACAGACAGTATAGGTACATTATTTAGGAATATGAAGGAAAATATTAGCAGAAACAGATCAAATTAAATTGTTTTCTGGGGAAGAGACAATGGAGGAGACCAAGAGGCTGGGGCATGAGAGATTGCTGATTTTTTTTAAAATATATATTTATTGATTTCAGAGAGGAAGGGAGAGGGAGAGAGAGATAGAAACATCAATGATGAGAGAGAATCCCTGATCAGCTGCCTCCTGCACACCCCCCACTGGGGATCGAGCCTGAAACCCAGGCATGGCCGGAATCGAACCTGGGACCCTTCAGTCTGCAGGCTGATGCTCTATCCACTGAGCCAAGCCGGCTAGGGCGAGATTGCTCAATTTTTTATAAGCATTTTAGCACTATTTGGCTTTTCAAATCAAGTGCAAATATTTCTTTGATTTGTAAAAAATGACAAAACACAATAATAAAACCTACCCTCCTTAGTAATCTCCTTTAGCTCCAGGAAAGACTTCAGACAGAGAGAATGTGGTTTGATGTGGCTTGTGGAGCCTTGAGATCTGAGACACAGCAGACAGGAGGTGCCTGGTGTTTGGGGAAGAGCACTGGATCTTGAATCAAAAGACCTAGGTTTCCATCTTGGCCTTGGTGCTCCACGCTCTGTGGCCTTGGGCAATATGCGTAACATCTCTGAGCTTCTCTACCCCCATAAGGGCAGGCATCCAGACCCCATGGAACCAAAAAGAGGATTAAATGATGTAAATCCCAACCCAATGATACAAACTAACCTCATGGTGAGGCTACAAGGGGTAGGGACCTGAGCGGTCTGGGCAAAGTAGGTCAGAGCTGTGGGAAGACTGAGCCCTGGGTAAGAGATGCAGGTTGCTCACCCATGAACCAGGCGTTGAGCCCAAGCTCGAGTTTCTGGACTTGAGCTGAAATGTTCTCCTCCCACCACCATGTTACCAAGTTCTCGGAGTATGTTTTAAGTTCTGTGGATTCGAGAGAGAGGTGGTAACCCAGGTGTCCGTCTGTATCCCTCTGTGAGAGGCTCACCCATATCATGAGCCCATCTGACTCAGCATGCGAACTCCTGAACAAAGTCCTTCCTCGAGTCTTCTCAACTTAAAATAATTTCCAAATCACTTAGCCTTAGAATCAAACCTTAGACCCAAAAGAGAAATCTCCAGCCCTTTCTCCAGGGCAGGGTCCAGCTCACCACTAAGTCAAGCTTTGTCACAGATCTGTCACAGTTACCATTTTAGGACAAGAAGGTCCAGCTTCCCAGGAAGCAGCACAGGGAGCCATTTTTTCCAGGCTCTGAGCATTGAGAACGCACAGCCCAGGGGCTGGCTGCTGAATGCCCGGTTGCCAGGGTCCCTTTTTCCCCTCCTTCAACTGGAATCACAGCCTGCACTGGGTTAGGTGGGAGCGGTCCGGCAGGTCCATGCTCCCATGGGTCGGCTATCTCCTGTTATCAGAGGCCCATGCGCCATCAGACAGCACTGTTCTTGCTGGTATGTCACCATGTGAAGAGGTAGGAAGACACCCTGGGGAAAAAGAACCTGAAACAAGACTCCAGACGGGGCCCAAGGCACTCCCACCAGGACAGGGATAAAATGGGGACTAAAGTCTAAAATCTCTCCAAGGTTCTGGGAACACAGCCTTCTCGTTGCATAGGCAGAAGGGAGGACTGATGACACAGGCCTGCAGATTCACTCCCCCCCAAAATTAAGTTTATTCTTTGGCACTTCATACTTGGCAAGGGTTAATCACAATGTCAATTAATGCAATGATTAAATTAATAAAATACCCCTGGTTCAGAGGAAACCTCATAGAGACCAGCTTTGATTCCGTGAGCACAAGGTAAGGGACCCAAGAAGGAACACTGCAGAGGGAGGGTTCGAGGAGTAATTACCAGTGACGAAATGTCATTTTCCTTGAGTCAAGTGATTCTCATTTTATTCAAGTGTCCCGGAAACGATGATGAAGATTTTTTTTTTCATTTGGGGGAATTTCTTTTCTGTCCAACAAATAACTTTCAATCATCTGGGTTTTTTTTTTTAAAGTATTTTGCAATTTCTAAATAATTTTTTTTAAAAATCAGGCTGACACTGCCAACTCCTGATGGTTAGGGTTTTTGGAATCACCTACAGAAAGAGGGCTGTTCCGCTGAGAGCCTGTGGGGGAAACTGGCCTGTATATCCTGTGCCCCGAAGCATCTGTTTCTTCAAAGATGTAGCCGGGGGGCTCAGGGTATGAAGCCAAGCACCTGCCCAAATCCTTGGGAGTAAAGCTGATGGCGTATGTGGTCTGGCCCTCCACAGGGACCTTTGCTTGGGGACTAGACCAGAGGGGCTTATAGCTTTTGGTACTGATGGGTGGGTGGGGCACATAGTGGGCCCTGGTGGTGGTCAGACAGTCCAAGGGCTCGGTGGGACGGATCAGCTGGGGAACGGGCTTGACTGGCTCCATGCGTATGCTGGCCCACTGCTTGTAGTCATCCCTGTTGGTTGTGGAGCTTTCGAAGCGGGGACCTTTCTTGATGCAAACCACTGGTCGGCAGGACTGAGCTGGAGCCCCCTTAGGGTACGTGTAATGGGACTGCACTGTTGTGATAAGGTCCATCTTTTCTTCCGGAGGGACGTAGGGGACAAGAGGTTTGTAGAACAACTGGGGCGTTGGCCACGCTTGGTACTTATCTCGAAACTCAGTGGTGTTAGAGAAAGGTGTGTCTAATATGCAGGACCTGGATGGAGGCTTCAAGCTCTTGGCTGGCTCCCCCATCAGGCCCCGGAAGCACTGTTTGTGGGTGGTGATGCTTTCAAAGGGGATTTCACAGGGTTTGAACTTCTCTGCCTCATACACAAAACGCTTCTCTATAGGGTGGGCCACGTAGCTCATCTTGTAGTTAGTCAGATCCTCCAGGGGGATGTTACAGACCTTGGGCATGGCTGGAGGCTTACAGCTCATGGTTTTCACTAGACCCTTTAAAGGGTAATCATCCTGGTGTGTGGTTCTATTTTCAAACCTAGCAGATTCTGGCCGGTATTTGTGGTCTGGACGAATTAGCTCTCGTCTTGGTTGGTTCCAGGGTAAATAATCAGCTGAAAATAAAGCAGAAGTGGTAATTATTCATAATTCAATTCATTCAACCTGCATGTATTCCAAGGGGTCTTCAAAGCCATACACCAGTCTCCAGTGAGATGTTCTTTGTGACAAAAGAAGAACAGAGTGGATCCCTACCATCACTTCACTCAAGGGCTTGATATTTCAACTTTATGGTATCTGGGAGTTGCTGTGCAGAAGAGAAGAATTTATATTACACCCTATAATGCTGTACACAGGTGTTTTAGAGGGTCCATGGCCATGGGAAGATCCAGGGAACCGATTCTAGCAGAGTTGTCACACCACTGACTTACCCAGTCCAAGAACAGTTCCATCCCTCTGTGGCAGCGGTTCTCAACCTGTGGGTCGCGACCCCTTTGGGGGTCGAACGACCCTTTCACAGGGGTCGCCTAAGACCATCGGAAAACACATATATAATTACATGTTGTTTTTGTGATTAATCACTATGCTTCCATTATGTTCAATTTGTAACAATGAAATTGGGGGTCACCACAACATGAGGAACTGTATTAAAGGGTCGTGGCATTAGGAAGGTTGAGAACCACTGCTCTGTGGGGAAGGTGCCCTCTGAATCAGCACCGAATGACTGGGAAGATGCATGTGATACAGTGAGACAGGGGATTCACAACCCACAGCTAATGGGCTGCCAGCCAGACCAACCAGGCCCGCCTGGTGTGCGTGGGAAAACTGCCATTGTGTCCCTCAACCCATACATCTAATCCACACACATCCAAGGGAATAAGGGCATTGTATTGGCTGCTGAGAGAATAATAGCAACTGCCTCTTATATAGAGCTTATTATATCACAGACAGTATTCTAAATGCTTTTCTGTGTCAATAACTCTTTTAATATTCAGACTTCTCTAATGAGGTGGCTACCATCAATATGCTCATGTTACAAATGCAGAGCGACTAACATACTTGCCCACAACCTAGCCTGCCCAGATGGATCCGGCATGGGGGGGAGGGGGCGAGTAGGGGGGGTGATGGAAGCCCCAGGATAAAACACCACAAACTCCCATTGTTTGTAACAATAGTTTAGTAGTGTTTCTTGAATAAATACTTTTCAGTTTTCTGTATGCCTTTGGTTTCCTGAGCCCTAAAATGGATGATTTTTTTACTGTTTTGTCCAGTTTTATTGTTGCTTTTGGGGCAGAGCCTTTGCCAAGTTCCTCACTCCACCACTTTGGAAGTCCTGACATCCCCTTCCCCCCCAGGCACACTCTTAAGTTTATTTTAGGCTAATAATACTACCAACTATTTATTTTAAATTGGCTTCATTTTAATTGAAAATCTAATCTTTCTCCAAGAGCCATTAATGGCTCTATCAGCATCTTGAAAGCATTAGGGGGCCTCCGAGAGAACCATCTTGCTGAATATAAACCACATGTTTCCCCGTCAGACTTCAGGCCTCCCTGATATGGGGATATCTACCTGTAGATGCCTTCACGCTGCCTCAAGGTCCATGGGGGTGGGAAGGACAGGGCTTTTCTGGCCCTCTTCCATGATGGATGAAGTGATAAGAAAACAGGTTCCTAAGCTGAAAGATGCCTCATGTAATTTCTGATACCCAGCAATACAGTTTAAACCACATTATTATCCAACCTTCTAACTTCCTCCACCCAGCATATATTACAAAAAAACCTCCACAAGACCCTGAAAACCTCAGAATTCCACATGACAAACTGTTCATAAGCATGAAAACCATCAGTAAAGCCCTTCAGGGCCAGGGTGTCATGTGGGTAATTGGCAAGAACCTCTTTAAAAGGGATTCCATTCAATAATGTGTCTTAAAAAAAAAAAACTTAGCTAAACCTAAAGCTGAGCATCAAGTAATTACACTCTCAATCTTTCCAATTGCACAGTGTTTTGAAAATGTCAAAATTACAACCAAATGCTGCTGGAGCATATTGTACTGGTGGTTTTCTAGTAGAGGTGCTGGCCATACAAGTGGAAAGGGGAAAGTTTGCATATTTTCCCTGTAGAACCATAGTAAGTGGAGCATATAGATATAATATAGATGGAACCTATTGAAATACACATATTTAATGAGTTTGGTCTTTGGTTGTTTTTTCTTCCCCCTCTTTGGAAGGAAAATCAATGTATGGCCATAAAACCATAAGGTTGCTATGGAAAAAACTTACTAAAGCAGCAAATTTCCACAAGAGACAAACAAGTCATCAAAAGGTGATACTCCAGCCTGGCCAGCGTGGCTCAGTGGTTGAGCGTCAATCTATGAACCAGGAGGTCACAGTTCGATTCCCGGTTGCGGGCTCAATGCCCAGCGGGGGCGCATGCAAGAGGCAGCAGATCAATGTTTCTCTCTCATCGATGTTTCTATTTCTCTCTCCCTTCCTCTCTCTGAAAATTAATAAAAACATTTTTTTGAAAAAGGTGATACTCCAAGAGATAAGGCAAGGGCCCCTCACACATACAAGAGGTTGTGCATGACTTATGCAAGGGCAGGTAAATGCCATGGGTCTTCCCCAAGCCTTCACTCGAGTTCTTGGTCAGGAATCACAGAGTAATCGGCTGGGTGAGGATTTGTGCAAATCCAGTGCCACACTGTGTCACCGGAGCCCTTGTAAACAATGGTCCAGAACCGCTCATGAGTGCACTTCCTCACTAAGCCCACCTTGGTAGCGTCATCCCCTTTGTAATGTGCTAAATGCTGGGAAAACATATGCTGGCCATTCAAGGCCCAGTTTTGGAAGCCATTATATATGATAGGGGAGTAAGGGGGCAAAGCAATCATTTACATTAACAGAATATGTTAAGTATATATTATTACAAAAAAATATTAAGACATATAGGTTGCTAACAGGCACCTATGGGTCAAATCTAACTATAAGTACATTTCATTGGCTACATACTGATTTGTTTGCTTTTACATCTGCATTTCAAGGGGGAAAAGGAGAAGAATATAGGGGTTTCTCAATTTTAACTTTGTCAGTAGGGAAAGGCCAGCCACCATTTCATTTTAGCAGTGGAACATTATTCTCTGGTTTGCAGAGGGAAATTTTAGATGTAACTGTTTGGAGAAGGTGAGGAATATGGGAGAGCTGGAGTGGGAAGAGATTAAAGCATATGTATTAGGTTGCGTTTTTTCTGTGTGTTTATTTTGAATATTTTGCTGGAATAAAGAAGGAGGAGTGTCTTCAAATAACAACAATGGTCTACTGTACCCTTGCCAACCCCTAAGGTAAGCAAGGAGCATTTCTCACTCGCAGCCCTGTCCTTGCACCTAGGGAAGTGAGGGGAGGGGAACTGGGCTGCTCACGCAGTTGCTCTAAAGAGCCTCTAACTAAGCCAAGATTCACAAATCCAGGAGGGCCATCGAAAGGGCATGGAGGAAAGGAGAGTTTGTAGCTAAAAGTGCCTGCTCCCTCCTCCATCAGAAGTAAGGGCTCCTTCCGGCCGGCTCAGTGTCCATGGTGCCATTTTTGCCTTCCGTAGACACTGAATGAAAAGGAAGAATCAGGAGGCAAGAGTGCCATGACCATGTGCTGGTACTACTGGCTCCTTTGTAAACCATCTACTACAGTGCCTGCCTTGTTGGGTGTAACTGGCAAAGAGAAACGTAGATCCTTGCCCTCTTGGAGCTTACAGTCCGGCCAAGGAGACAAATGTTAAGGGGGCCGAGGGGTGGAGAAAATTAGGCAATCAGTTACAAAACAGGGGAGTACGGGGCACTCTTAGAGCATCTAACAGGATGTATCTAGTCTGGCAAGGGGTGGGGGGGTAGGTCTGGAAAGGCCTTGAAGGGTGAGACATTTCCGCTACTCACTCAAGAGCAAGTGCTAGACAGGGAAAGGGAGGGGGGCTCTATAGAGAGGAAACAGCATGTGGGACATGTCCTGAGACAGAAAAGAGATGGAGGAAAGGAACTGAAAGAAGGTCCTGGGGCAGAGCACAGGGGCGCTGGCAGGAGGCGCCAGAATCTGCAAGGCATCAGCGGAGTTGGTGAAGGGTTAGGATTTTATCCTAAGAACCATGGTAATTATTTGAGGACCTTTATGTGGAGAAGAAATCAAGTCAGATGGCCATTTTTAAAAGCCCCCCTAGTTCCTTTCTGTGGAAAATGAGTAACAGCTGACAAGACAGGCGCTCTGCTCAGGTGTATGGTCAGAGAAGGCAGAATTGGGGCTTTGCTAGGAAGAAGCAACTAAAGAACAGAAGAGAGAGGGTATAAAAAGGCCACAAAAATACAATGTGGTAGAAAAAGAGAGACAAAAAATACATGGAATAGGCCACATGGGGGACAGACACAGGCAGGGCTGGTGATGAGAAGAAAGACTGAAGTATCAGTGGGCTGGAGGTCCCAGTGAGGCCAAGGACTGCCGGTGGGAGCGGGTAAGAGAGCAAGCAGAAGGACGATGTTGGGGTGTGCAAAGGCGGAACCATTTCTGGGTATTAGTGTCCAGAATGTGGCTTGGCAGAAGGTGGTTATGGAAAAGTGGACGAGAATGATAGCAATGATAAGAAGGTAGGAAAGCAAAGACCACATTGCTGAAGAGGCGCTGAGTCCCAGCTCCTGGGAGAAGCAGGGAAGCTCAGCCACAGGCAAAGTCTTCCAAATATAGATTTAGAGCTCCTGGAAGGGCTTCAAGAATATTCTACCCTCCTCCCCACCCCCACCCCGACCCCAAACCTCCCCACTCCTTTTGCCTAAGTGTTTGGCTTGACTACATAAAAGCAACTGTTAGCACAGTTGTTTAGAGATTCACAGACCTGTTACACGTACAGTTCAGCATGTATCCTAGGGAATCTATGTGCATCGTAAGCAGAAAAGTTACTGATAAGCCTGGCCTCCATTCCCATGGCCTCAGCCTATGGCTTGTGCTCCATAGAGCGACTGCTACATTGCTTGCACCACACATACGACGCCATGTCCTGTGTCCCTACCAGATTCAAAAGTCACATAAGGTCACTGTGCTTCCTTCACAGTCCCTAATGCCACGTCTAAGATGTATGTAGTAGATGCTCAATAAAGAATGAATCAATCCCATTTATATAAAATTCAAAATTGTCAAAACTAATTTATGGTGTTAAAAGTCAGCACAATGGCTCTATCCTGGGTGGGGAGGGTAACTGGATGGGAGTATCAATGTTATGTTTCTTGATCTGGGTGCTGTTTGCATGGATGTGTTCAGTCAAAATTCATTGGTCTATGCACAACAAAGAAAATCATCAGCAAGAAAAAAAACAACCTGCTCAATGGGAGAATATATTTGGCAATGATTCATCCGATAAGGACTTAATATCCAAAATTTATTAAAAACTCACACAACTCAACACCAAAAAAACCAAACAAACAATTCAATTAAAAAATGGGCAGAGGACCTGAATAGACACTTTCTATAAAAACGACATGCAGATGGCCAATGGACATATGAAAAGATGCTCAGCATCACTAGTTGTCAGAAAAGTACAAATTAAACCACAATTAAATATCACCTCACACCTGTCAGAATGGCTATCATCAATAAATCAACATGTGTTGTTGAGCATGTGAAGAAAAGGGAACACTCGTGTACTGTTGGTGGAAAATCAGTAAGGAGGGTCCTCAAACAATTAAAAATGGGACTGCCTTAAGACCCAGTGATTCCACCTCTGGGGATAGATCTGACAAAACCCAAAACACTAATTTGATCAAATATATGCACCCCTATGTTCACTGCAGCATTATTTACAATAGCCAAGATAGGGAAGCAGCCCAAGTGCCCGTCAACCCAAGTGGGTAAAATTGTTGTGGAACACCTTACCCGTGGGCTGTGAGCACTGCAGGGGGTTGCACAGTGCAAGCATAAAAAGTTGTGGAACATATATAAATTGAACATTACTCAGCCATAAAAAAGAATGAAATCTTACCATTTGCGACAGAATGGATGGACCTAGAACGTATTATACTGTGAAACAAGTCAGTCAGAGAAAGACAAGTCATCTGATTTCACTTATATATGCAATCTAAAGAACAAAATAAATGAACAAACAAAATTGAAACAGACTTTTAGACCAGAGAGCAGACCAGAGGGGATGGGGGTGGGGGGTACTGGGTGAGAAAGGTGAAGGGATTAAGAAGTACAAATTGGTAGTTACAAAATAGTCATGGGAGGTAAAGTACAGCATAGAAAATACATTCAATAATATTGTAATATCAATGTATGGTGCCAGATGGGTACTAGAAATATTGGCGGGAACACTTTGTAAAGTACTATATGATTGTCTAGCCAATATGGTATACACCTGAAACTAATACAAAATAATACTGAATGTAAACTAATTAAAAAAGAAATTAAACAAATAAAAAAGAAATAAATGGCCCTGGCCTGGTGGCTCTGTTGGTTGGAGCATCATCCCGAACACCAAAATTCCTGATCAGGGCCCATACCTAGGTTGTGAGTTCAATCCCAGTCAGGGTGCGTATGGGAGGCAACCAAACCGATCAATGTTTCTCTCTCTCCCCTTCCCTCTAAAATCAATAAAAACATATCCTCAGATGAGAATTTAAAAAATAAATAAATTATAACTAGGAAAACAAAAAAAAATAAATACTTCTTAAATGGAGTTTAAAAAGTCATTAGTCTGTATAATTATGATTTGTACATTTTTTCTGTCTATATGTTATGTTTCCATAATTTTTTAAATGATAAATCAACCAATCACTCCACTGAAATGCTTCCCCAATGTAGGACTTCAACAACAAGCTAAAGCAGGCACTGGCAAAGATGTTCTCTAAGAGGGAAGACATGAAATGTCTTAGGCCTTGCACGCCCCACGGTCTCCATCACAGCTACTCGGCTTTTGCTGTCGCACCAAGGAGCCACAGATAATGTGGAAATGAACAAGTGTGGCTGTGTCCCAACACAACGTCCTGATGAACACTGACCTTTGAATTTTGTATCATTTCACACATCCTGAACCAGTCTTGAGTTTTGTTGAGCATTCAAATTTTAAAAACCATTCTTAGCTCTCCAGCTGTGCAAGAATGGGCTGCAGGCCCACCGAGGCCCACAGGAAGTGTGTGCCCGACCCCGGCACTAAGCGGGGGTGCATGTCAAACACATCTCCCATCCTGCATCTGGCTCAGCCTGTCCCTCGTCCCTCCCCCAAGCTGCCCCCCAGCATCTCCCACCTTTGTAAGTGGGCAGAGACTCCATCCTGTCACCACATGGATATTTGCTGTCCCGAGGTTTGATGGGCTCCGCTCGACAGATGGGATAGGGGTTGTAATCTTGCTTATACGTCGTGAGCAGATCCATATTCTCTTCACTTGGGACGAACTGGTCCGGCTGGTAGATCTTCACTGGTAACACTTTGTGGGGCCCAAAATCTCTCCTGTAATGAAAACCAGCACATGCACGGGGCCCCTGGCTCAGGTACGGCTCTTGGTTTCCACTCAGCCCAATTCCACAAATGTCCGCTAAGAATGACCTACTCCATCCCCCCGACTGCTCTTCCTCCTCTGTTGCCCACTTTCGAGAAAGACACCCCTTTCTCTCCTCACCCACCCCAGGCTCCTGGACACCATCTGGATCCACCCCGCATGGCTCCAGTCACTCACCAGCAACGGCCCCTCCACCTCATCGGTCTGTCTTCCCTCCAAGGCTCAGACCCTGACCATTCCTCACTTGATCAGGTGACAGCTGACTGCCTGGCTTTCCTGCTTCCTACGGCCACTTCTACTTCAATCCCCTGAGTTGGCCAGAATCAGCCCTCTAACCTGAAAATCAGGTCATTTCACTCCCCAGCTTAAAACCCTTCCCGATAAAGCCCAGCCTGCTAGCATGGTGTGTAAGCTTTGCTGGCCCTGGCCCTGCCTTACTCCCCAGCCGCATCTCCCACCGCCCCCGGCCCACATTCCACTCCAACCGCCCTGGGCCACTGAGAAGGCCTCTCCTCTGCATCAGCTCTTCCTGCCTTCCTTCCCCCCAAACCCCCTCACTGTGGAGCTAACTCTATTTTTTCAGACACCACCACTTCCTTCTCTGTGCTCCCATAGCTTCTCCTGCTAACATCTATTTCCTTCCCCTGCTTGACCTTACAGAAAACCCAGAAGAGCAGAACAGTACATAAAGGGAGACACTGATGCCCTAACCCAGTGGTCGGCAAACTCATTCGTCAACAGAGCCAAATATCAACAGTACGACGATTGAAATTTCCTTTGAGAGCCAATTTTTTTAAACTTAAGCTTATAGGTAGGCCTGCCTTACTCCCCAGCCGCATCTCCCACCGCCCCCGGCCCACATTCCACTCCAACCGCCCTGGGCCACTGAGAAGGCCTCTCCTCTGCATCAGCTCTTCCTGCCTTCCTTCCCCCCAAACCCCCTCACTGTGGAGCTAACTCTATTTTTTCAGACACCACCACTTCCTTCTCTGTGCTCCCATAGCTTCTCCTGCTAACATCTATTTCCTTCCCCTGCTTGACCTTACAGAAAACCCAGAAGAGCAGAACAGTACATAAAGGGAGACACTGATGCCCTAACCCAGTGGTCGGCAAACTCATTCGTCAACAGAGCCAAATATCAACAGTACGACGATTGAAATTTCCTTTGAGAGCCAATTTTTTTAAACTTAAGCTATATAGGTAGGTACATTGTTATTAACTTAATTAGGTACTCCTAAGGCTTAGGAAGAGTCACACTCAAGGGGCCAAAGAGCCGCATGTGGCTCTCGAGCCGCAGTTTGCTGACCACGGCCCTAACCGGTTTGGCTCAGTGGATAGAGCGTCGGCCCACGGACTGAAGGGTCCCAGGTTCGATTCCGGCCGAGGGCATGTACCTTGGTTGCGGGCACATCCCCAGTAGGGGGTGTGCAGGAGGCAGCTGATCGATGTTTCTCTCTCATCGATGTTTACAACTCTCTATCCCTCTCCCTTCCTCTCTGTGAAAAATCAATAAAATGTATTTAAAAAATAAATAAATAAAGGGAGACACTGAGCCTTTCATTTCCCTGCTCCCTGCCACCAGTGCCCTCATCTTTGCAGGGAGCATGGAACAGTGGGATGAAAAAGCGTGATGGCCTTCACTAAATGGGAAACACTCCCTTCCCTAAGCATCCCACAGCTACAGGGAGGCCCACAGCTCGCTGTTCCTGGATCACCCTGGCGACACCAGGGCTGGGCTGGGGCTTCCAGTCCCCACCAGGGCGATCCTGACTTGCAATTCTCATGCAGACTCTCCTAAGCAAATATTTCCCCTCAAGGGCTCTGCTTTACAGGACAGCCTGGTTTGGCCTGGAACCCATTTATTAACCTGGACGAGGGGCGGTAGATGGGCCCTGATGGTGCTTGCCAAAGCAGCCTCGCCAAGGGAGGGGGGAGGTTTCCGGACAGGAAAACATCAGACCCAAACACCAATAAAACCCACTTCCCGGCCGAAATCTGGAGCAGCATTACTGAGCCACGCTTGACTAGCAAAGGTAACACGCTCCACTGTAACCTGTCTTGCATGAATTATATACATGGTTGTCCATAAACCCAAACCCAGGCCTGAAAATGCTTGGTGGGATGGGGGCAGCGAGTGAGGAAGCAGGAGAACTAGTCTCCCTAGGGCTCTGCGGAAGAAATGGGAGATGCTTCAGTTGAACTCCCAGTAACACCCTCTGGGTAGATTTAAAAATATCTCCGGGCAGCAGTTACAGGTCTTCAGCCTGGGCTCCCTTCCCCCGAACCCCTTGTGGGTAAACAGGAGGAGGAAGCTGAGTGACCTGAGGCCGCTGGCAGCCGGCTGTGTACAACTGGGACTTCAGAGAGAGCAGCTAAATGAGAACCCCAGGGTCAGTCCACACTTGCATCCTTCTTAGTGTAGCTCATGCCAGGGTCTGCTTACTGCTCAGCCAACCGCAGCAGCGGGCTCGGAGGGAGGGCCTAGGCGGCACAGAGAAATGGCAGTTTCCAGAAAGCCCGGTCTGATAGTGATGACTGCAAGGCAGCTTTTATCAGAGAGTTTGTGTTCTCAGGGGAGGGCTCCCAAGTTACAGGTGAGCTCTCCTCCTTCCCAAAAGGGATGGGAAGGCCCTAGCCAGTTTGGCTCAGTGGATAGAGTGTTGGCCCTTGGACTGAAGGGTCAAGGGTCTGATTCCGGTCAAGGTCATGTACCTTGGTTGCAGGCTCAATCCCTGGTCAGGGCTCATGTGGGAGGCAACCAATTGATGTGTCTCTCTCACATCGATATTTCTCTGTGTCTCCCCCTCCCCCTTCTCTAAAAATCAATGGAAAATATCCTTGGTTGAGGATTAACAAACAAACAAAAGGGGTGGGGAGAAGTCTGGAGGCAGCAGAGACCACACACACACACACACACACACACACACACACCCGCCTGCATAAACCCATGTTCATTGATGGCTACCCCAGGGTTCAGCCCTGTGCCAAGAAGGAGGATCAGGAGATGCCAAGGGCAAGTGGTAAGAAACAAGGCCCTGCCCTAACTGGTTTGGCTCAGTGGATAGAGCGTCAGCCTGCAGACTCAAGGGTCCCAGGTTCGATTCCAGTCAAGGGCATGTACCTTGGTTGTGGGCACATCCCCAGTAGGGGGTGTGCAGGAGGCAACTGATGGATGTTTCTCTCTCATCGATGTTTCTAACTCTCTGTCCCTTTCCCTTCCTCTCTGTAAAAAATCAATAAAATATATTTTAAAAATTTTTTTAAAAGAAAAAGAAACAAGGCCCAAGATGCGGCCCTCCCAACCCCAGAGCATCCAGGAGTGCTTTCCAGTCATCGGACCCTGCACACAGGTCATGACATCCTCCTCCGCCATTACTCCCCCAAGGGAGCCAGCTTCTCCTTCGAGATACCGTGAGAACCTTCCTTCAAGGGCTTCCTTCATTGCACTTAACGCCCTACTTCCTGCTGTTTCTACAGAAAAAGAGCAGGAAAATGCCCAGAATCAAATACCGGTTCATGGACTGTCCTGAAGCTGGTTGCTCAAAGGCAAAAGCTGATTCAGCACAGTCCTTGCTCACTGTGTTGAGGGAAAATTGTTCCCCGAGCGTCCTTCTCCAGTACAAAATGTAAGTCCCTGTGAAAGCACATCTATGATTGAATATACTAATCAGCTATAACTAAGAAAAACGATCTTGAGGGGGAAATGATCTATTTCTGAAGGGCGGAAAGGTTTTCAGTTGAGCTCATTTATACCCCACCCAAAAATATTTGCTGCGGCTTAAGAGTGAATTTAATCTGAATTTATGTTCCTCATTGTGTTTTTATGTTAAGGACATTCCCTGAAACCTATCATTAACCAAAACGCAACTGCGCGTCCCCAATCTCACATAATCCTACACCCTTTAAGGTCACAAGAGAAAAGTCTATTTTATCCTTCCCAGAAATTGCTCACATTTAGTAGCTTTTTTTTTTTTAACAACACTCCCCTCACTTCCTGTGTTGCATTTCTTAGTCCCTGTGCCCATTGTGACTAAGAACCAAGAAAAAAAATTGGTCAAAGATGTTAGGTTTCTTTCAGGTGTGGAGCCATAAAAGTGATATAGTATGGAGGGCGGAGAGAGAGAGCCCGAGTTAAGTAAAGGTTAAAGTGGCCTGCTGGGAAGGTCATAGCAACTGACTCCCAATCACTAGGCAAAGCTACAGGAAGGTGTTTGACAAGAGTCTGACAAAAAGAAAGAAGAAATAACAAAGCCAACCAGCTCGGGAGCCTGGAAATAGGGCAAAGAAGATTTTCACAGCGATAAAGGGGCCATGAAATACTTTTTTTAAAAAAAACTATTATTAATGTTTATCTATGAAAACTTTAGAATTTGTTTGTGTGCCCAACTAATCAATCATATTAAATGGAATCCATTTTTAAAAGTTCCTCCTCGCCCTGGCTGGTGTTGCTCAGTGGTTAGAGCGTCGGCCTGCACACCAGAGGGTCTCGGGTTCGATTCCCAGTCAAGGGCAGGTACCTGGGTTGCAGTTCCGTCCCTGCCCTGAGTCGGGGGTGAGTGGGAAGCAACCAATTGATGTGTCTCTCTCACATCGATGGTTCTCTCTCTCCTCCCTTTGCCCTTCCCTTCCACTCTCTCTAAAAATCAATGGGAAAAATATCATCACTCCTCCAGTGAGGATTTGAAAAGAAAGAAGAAGAGTTCCTCCTCTTGCCCAAAGCCAATCTCTTCACCGCTACCCTAAAACCCCTCCCTCTTTCATGGAAACCTCATCGATGGACCATCTCCTGGTCTGTGCTTAACCCTTTTCCTTTACTGCCTCCTTTCTGTCAGTATTTAAACATGCTCCATCCTTTCTAAACTTTAAGGGGGAAAAATAAAATACGACACAAGAGTCCACTCCCCTCCAGTCCTCTCTCCCTGCCTTCTCTCTCCTAGGAAGGGTTGTCTAC